TGCTTCAACGCACCATACATTATCGTAATAGTGATTTGATGACCGAAAATCTAGTCTTAAAAATGATGACATTCTCATATTCAAGAAACGCTCCGATCTGGTTAACACAGTGAACTGGAAACGCTCCGGTAGTCTAGATCAGTTTAGGAAATATATAGCTTGCCTTTTCTTTTCAGGAAGAGAAAGAAAAGATCTATTATACCCCTTGGCATCAATAGAAGAAAGATTAATTCACATTTTTTTTATAGTTTTATCATTTAGCACATATGTAGGCATGACATCATCTAATGTATGCTTAAATCAGCTAGTTGCACGTTAAGCACCACCCGGTTCAGATGTTTCAATTTGCCTAACAAGTACAACACGTTTTTGAGAGATAGATTCGATTCGAAACTCTTCTCTAATAATCTGAAAATTATATCAAAACAAAATGGTAAGAGCGTTTCTAAAATTGTTTTCTAAATCGACGGAGCGTTTCGAGGAAAACAAGCGATTTCTCGAGAACAAGTAATGGATATGGACTGGGATTTTAGGAAATGAGAATATACGAGTTTGTGATCTACTACTTTAACAGAAAGATTAACGTTTTCATAGAAATACTAGTTTAATTCGTAATTTGTGGTCAAATCGTCATCTTCAGATTCGTTCGATCTACACTACGGAGCTTTGATCAAGCAAATAACAGTTTACCACCATAAAATTAACGAGAGGAACAATACCTACGGTCATAGTGGAATCTTCATTAGCCGCCATTTTATTTCGCTCCGGAGCGTTTCCGCGTAAATGAAACGCTCCGTCGTGCATGTACGAGCGTTTGGGTTATACACCGTGCATTTGCTAACACCCCCCACTTTCATAGTGAAGTGACTAATTGGTTTATGTTTACGTTTTAATGTGTTTTGGGTTCTTTGTTACAGCAAGGGGGGCCAGTAAAGTAGACTAACATGTTTGCATGGCAAATTTTGATCGAATATGTGAGACACTTTAACTCCCCAATGAAATAGATAATGTACAATTCAGATTTTATATTTTATTACAATTACAAATACATTACAATTCGACAATCATCTTGGATGCCAAGGTGTATAGTTCTCATACCTTGGGATCAGAGGCGTAAAATAAATGGACTAAAATGGAACTTAAAAAACAGTTCCACTTGTAAGGTGTTACGCTTCAAGAGGTGTTTCACTTAGCAGGTTCTAGAGGTTCAGTGTATATATCATTTAATGGTAATGTATTCCAATCTAGGCAGAAAAACAAAATGAACACACACACAGTGACCATTTAATTGACTGAATCAGTTTGGACATACATTTTGCGAGATCCCCATTTTCTTCTCTTGAAAAGCATATAGATATGGGTGTATGGTTTGCTGAAACTCACGCTATTGGCTGATCCATTCGTTTCTGTGTTAAAATATTTATTCCATGTTATTGAAGGGAAAACGTGAATTTCATCATGGTCAAATGGAAGTCCAAGACCCTACCTAAGTATAAAAAATTAAAGAGAGTAAAAATGTTCTATTGTTTTTGATATTTTCAAGCTTTTTAAATAAAATAACACATATTGTATCGCATTTATATCTTTAAATTGTAAAATCAATAACATATACGAAAAATGGTCAAACTAATATATATTTCTCAAAGCATATGGGTGTTCTTGTGCCTACAAAACCTAATTGAATCACCAGTAGCCTGTAATATAAACACAAATAAATCTTTTAAAAGTAACCGTTACAAAATATTTGAATTTTGCGCATCTTGTCGAGTCTTTGATCACGCACTTTTAATAGTAGGCGATCACTGTATATACAGTGCATCTGTCATTTCTCTGGAATGATGTACACTTTCCTCCAAAAGATTGAAAACAATTGTAGTACAGTAAAACCTGTATATCTGAACACTTGGCTAATCCGAACACCTCCCAATTTGAACATTTTTTGGTCCCGTTTTTTCTCCCATTGACTCAAATGTTTAAAAAACTTGAAATATGAACATCTCCCAATTTTGACAGTGAACAGTCATGTTTGAAAATTAACCAATCTAATCTGAACACATAAAATATCACATGTTCCATAAATTGATCAAATATTTGAAAAAAACTTGAACGATCTCACTCATGGTGGGGCTTTCTAGGATGACTAAATTCATTTGAATCAGATTTTCATGTCACTCTAATGCCAACGCTTAGTAGTCAAAAGAACTATAATATTTATTGAGAATTTGTTTCTATTTCTTCAAAAAACCAAATCTTGCAAATGCAAAACCTAAAAATGTGAACACCTCCTAATCCGAACGCTCTGAGCTGGTCCCTTGGAATAGACAGATTTTACTGTAGGTACAATCCCCTCTAAAAGTTACTGAAATCACTGGCTGGGAATTGGTGTTCGCTTACACACAGGTGTTCAATAGAGTATACTCATATGTTCGCTGGGCACAGTATTTCACTAAAGAGATGTTCATTATGACAGTTTTACTGTACTGGGAATTGGTGTTCACTATACACAGGTGTTCAATAGAGTAAACGCATGTTTTCACTGGGCACAGATCTTCACTAAAGAGGTGTTCATTAGGATATTTTTACTGTACTGAACTCACTGGCTGGGACGGAATCGGTGTTCACTATAATATACACAGGTGTTCAATAGAGTAGAGGCATGTCTTCACTTGGCACAGATCTTCACTAAAGAGGTGTTCACTATGACAGTTTTACTGTACTGAAATCAATCACTGGGAATTCACTATATACAAAATTGAAATCTGTGTATCATGCCACCCCTGCAAAATAATTGACTTGCCCACTTGGTCTCTTGGATCCACTTGCAAAATATATATACTATAGTAGATGTGAATATTTTCGAAACAAATGAGTGATATATACACATATTTTGTACCAAATGCGTGACATAAACGGCAATCGCGTGCAAAGACCGAACGGAATGCGTTCGCTTTTTTCGCCATTCGGTATTTTACCGTGTTGGCCAGGGGGGAGATTCCCCAAAGATGCCCTATCATATTAGCACGTTCGAAAACAAATTTTATAAAGAGGCCTCAATTTGCCGTTGAAATGGATCTCCAAATTTTCACTGTAGTTTTATGAGTATTCTTTACAAGTATGGATCGAGTAACTTCAATAGTATTACCGTAGGTTTGAAATGACAATGTTGAACTGATGTAAACGCCATTCCCACGATTTCAAATTTAACTCTGCTGCGCAGCACTGAGAGAGCATGTGCCCATGATTGTTCACGTGATCGAATCCTGCAATTTGATTGGAGATGAAAAAAGCACTTGGTGAAAAATGTGTATACCCTCTGGGAGCCACCAGCATGCATTTTCTTGGTGTTGTATTCTCTAAACTACCAGCCTGTCAAGCATTTGACGTCTAATATCATTGTTGAGGCGACAGTGTAAGAGGAAATGCTTTGTGGTTTGTTTTAAACCACATCTGCATACATCAGTATCGATAGTTGTAAAAGAGTGGGCCATTTTATGTGCATTTAACAAGAGGCCAACACGTAATTGGTTCAGTTTGATTTCTAAATTACATGAATTACGAGGAAGAGATAAATTTTGTGAATTTGTCTGAATATTTTGAAAATTTTGGAAGTGCTTTTTGATTTGGCCTTTGGAAGAAGAGATAGTAGGCACCTGCCTAAGCTGTAATGGTAAGGAGTCCCAAATTTTAGAAAAAAAGATAGCTCCACTATCCTTGAACCTGGTAGAGATATGTAATGGGATGTGATAAGTTGGCCTATATTCCTATTGGTACAGGTGTCAAAAGTCTAAAAATATCTCTGATATATGAAGGGCACATATTATGTTTTACCTTGAACATTAACACACCTACTGTATGTGTGCCAATCGTCTGGCTTCTATAGTTGGCCAGTTTAGAATTTTCAAAAGTTTGTCGCCATTTGATCCATGCAGAGCTCCAGATACTAAGATTGCAGCTCTGTAGTGCAAGGAATCTAGCAATTTTAATGTTGTTTTGTTGCTGCCATGGTATAAAATGTCACAGTAATCGAAGTGCGGAGAAATATAAGAATTGTAAATAAGATCCAGGTGAGCTGATTTTACTTTATTTTTAATAGCCTTTAAGGGATTTAACATTTTCTGGACCTTTGCAGTTAATTCTCTTACATGAACTTCATACGAAAGTGTGTCGTCCAAGTGAAAACCTATGTGTTTGTGGCTATCAACTATAGGAATGTTTTTATTTAAGAGGGTCAAGGGCTGGTGAACTGGCTTTGGAGTTCCTATTGTTCTAAAGGTCAAATCTCTGCTCTTCTCAGCTTTACAGTGCATTTTCCATAACTGAGACCATTGTTCAAGGGTGTTTAAGTCATTTTGAAGAAGTCTGCTGTTATTTGGAGAATGTTTCATATAGGTGAAGTAAATGGACGTATCGTCAGCATAAATGTAGCTTCTTGAGTTTAAATTGTGTAGCAAATCATTAATATATAAGAGAAAGAGCAAATGTCCCAGGATTGATCCCTGGGGAACACCTGCATTTATATCATCATGATTTGAATATTCAGTTGAGGAGCCGTTGATAGAAACTCTAATTTTTCTATTTTTGAGGTAAGAACTAATCAATTTTATAAGATCATTGCAAAACCATAACTTCTGAGCTTATGTATAAGTAGTTTATGTGGAACAGTATCAAACGCAGCCGCGAGATCTAGGAAAATAGTACGAACATTATTTCCTTTACTCAATTCAGTATTAATATAATAAATAATTGAAACTAGCTGAAGTGTGGTATTATGGCCTTTGAGGAATCCCGACTGACGTTCATATATCAAGTTATTGGGGATCAGGTAAGTGCTAAGTTTGTTATAGATAACTCTTTCATAGACTTTAGAAATGGTATTCAGCAATGTAATCGGTCTATAATTTTCACATCTGGACTTAAGACCTTTCTTATGAATTAGGCTTACACCACCAAAGTATTGCATGATATTAAAGCATATATAATTTAATACCAGTAATATATAATATATAGCATTGCAGTCCATAGCATTACAGAGCACAGCACTGTTCGGCAAAGTATACCGCAGCGTAGCATAGCTTATCAACACAACAAAGCACAGCATACTATAGCACAGCATTGTATGGCATAGCATAGTCTAGAGCAGCATATGTTTTAAATGTCTTTGGGAAATAATGCATTACGTTATTACATGGTTGACAAAACAGTTGATCATCTTTGGTCTTGCAGGCTCATTGTCACATATTATTCATATTTTAGAAACCATTTACTGCTCAAAAGGATGCGTAAAATGATGGCTGTTCAAAGCAGCACAGAATAGCTCCACCATGTTCATATTTTCCTTTGTAATGCTACTCAACTTCACAGGGTGTAAGAATACTAGAAAGCTGTCCAGAAAAGCTTGGAATATTGGCAAAGGTTTATCGCGGGTTGTGCCATAACCCCAGTTGTATGCGCACGCACCTAACTTATTATCATTCACACCGATGGAATGTAGAATCGTGGGAACAGCGATCTCAAGAAATACTCTGTGCTTGAAGAACACTTCGGCAATGGAGATAAACTTTTGAAAATGTTTTTGTGGTATATAGTACACGTCCGTTGCCATTTTTGCCACCCTCTTCTCACCGAGCAATTTTCTTTGTAGACCAACGAGAAATGTTTTGATTATTTCGTTTGAGCTTTGCAACTGGTAGAGCTCATCGATGGCATCTTTTATATTAGTCTCGTACCTTATGAAGAATTGGCTAAATGGGTCTAGTGTGCATTTGCCTTGTAAGTTTGAAGAGTTGCACGATTTTATACTGCCATATTTAAGGGACGCAATTGGATAATAAATTCGATTACGTTTAACTAGTTTGTTCTTGTTAAATTTGGGAGTATGTTTTACAAGTTTAAGAAAATCCTCTTTCGTTATAAAACCTTTTGAATTGTGCCATATCTCGTCTAAGGGCAGAGTACGTATTGATTTGACTTTCATTATAGCATCATCGGCTATCGAGAGGACTCCTTTCACCCTCATGCCGAGCTTCATGACCTTGAGTACACATTCATAGTTAAAACTACCCGGTGGATCCATCTTTGCTCGCTGCCTTGTTGCGTTGAATGTAATGAAATTAATTTCCCACTCATGGAGGACTGCCTTACTCGGTGGTTCCGGTCCACAGTAAATTGTTTTTACAAAATGGCCGTCATACAATGATTCCAAATAAGGAATGTTCTCATATCGTGGTGTGTTGAATATTATCAATAACAAAATGGGATTTTGGTGTGTCAATTGTTTCTGAGTGGATACTATTGATGCGTGAGCCTGATAGCATGTTTTGTAATAGAGATTTTTGATTCTAGATTTCTTCTCTCCGATATAAAGTTGTTTTGAAGGAATCGACACTGCAAATCTGTTATCAGATTGAAGAGTGATTGAAAAGTCAATAGGCTCATTGAGTCTCGTTGATGTCATTTTTGGGAACTCGTAACCAATTGTAAAAAGATCTTGCAACCATGCGGCTGTTACCTTAGCATCAGAAATGTCCCAGAATCCCTTAAGAGCCATATCGTCTGCTAATATTTGAATACACGATGGAAGATTGTTAGATTTACACTTCCAACTAAATAAAAATTGGACAAGTTCACCGGCCTGGTCATAAAACTTCTTTTCTTGTTTCGCATCATCTATATATGAGTGAGAGTTGCGAAGCTGGTAACAATTAGGAGGCAAATAACTTAAATGGCCACCAATGAGCCATAATAGAGTTTGTGTGAAATAACTTCTCCATATGTCAGTTACACGGGATGTCACAGATGAAGGTAATAAGAGGCCCCAGAATGCATCATATAGAAACAAGGTATTTTGCGAATTCCATGGAACAAATGTCCCCTTTGGATAAAACAAAGGCGGCATATACTCATCGAACGTTAAATTTAATAATTTCGAGTTTGATTTGCGGGTTAGTCGGTAGATGGCATCGACATCCGGGTCTCCATTAACAGCCCCCTGTTGTATCAGTGCTGTTTTCCAATGGACCGCATTGTACTCGCCGGATATATTGTCCCCGATGTTGTCCAAGGGATACCCCCTTGGCCATGTTGTTGGCTGTCCATAATAAGCATATGGGTTAAGAACGGTCGTAGCACTTGAGGGTACCACACCATACATCGTCTCGGCTGTCATAAAACCTTTAAGACTATCAGTTGGATGGTTGTCGTCATCTGTTTCGTAAATAAGTTTTGCACCATGCTAGAAAATAAGTAAAATAATATTTGTGAGTGTTGTTTTTAATGATTTTGACATAAGACATAAACGGCAATACTGCGTTGTAGCCTCATTTAGAATTACGCGACACCAAGGATGATTTGCGCCCAGGGTCTTAACTCGATATTCGACTTTGACCTTGATATTATTTTCTGATATTACTTACTGACTATAAATTCATAATCAGCGATCCAGAATATTTGAACTAGTATCTTACAATATCGACCTCGATATTGCATTCTGGGAGTCAATCCTCCTTGACGTGACTCGTAGTCCACACCGTTTTGATTGGCCACCGTGAATGTGGTTGATCTTTACAAATGATTTGTTACCCTTTGCATTCGTTCGACTTCACTTCTTAAAAGAGAGCTTCGTCTTAGTTTATAACTAGACTCTACGCACAGGGCAATGATTCGTCTCTATCCGTTTTCGTGTCATCTCTTGCGAAGTCACGTGCTCCTAAATTCACATGAAAGGAACATAGGGCCAACGATGAATCGTGTTTCTTTCTCCCAGGTTACATACCTGTATTGCGTAAAGGTATCCTATATTCTTTCGGGTATAGCTCGAATATGGAATATGCTCCAGAATCTTATAACCAAGAGATTGTTGGGCAGCCACACTAAGGAATATAACACCATCCAAACTAAAAGCATGAAAGAACAGTTTCAAATTTTAGTTTATCTAAATACTCTTAAAGCCCCCAAAATATGTTTTTATTATTCATTTACTATTAACAGTGTAAAACACATTATCTTTTTGTTGAATAAAAAAATTGAAAAGCGATCCATTTTCCATTTATTATCACTTTAATTTTTGTTTTAGACAATTTTTTTCATTTCTTATTTGGTGTAGATTTCTGATAACTACCCCGGCATGTTAAGGTCGATTCGTAATTTCCGCCATTTTGATGCAATCCTCATAGAGTCACATGCTATTTCTTAAATATGGACTCATCCTTCCCAACACTGTCTCTATCTTTCAGTTTTGCACAAAGACTGCACTAATGTACCTAGAAAAGAGAGTGGAGAATATGTTGTTTAAAATGTATGAAAATGAGGAAATGCAGTGACCTACTTTTTAAATATACAAAGTGAGTAGGTCACTACATTTTCTCATGTTTCATACATCTTATGGAACAATTATTCACTAAACACTCTTTTTAATTTCCATGTATCTTAGTGTAGTCATTGTGCAAATGTGAAAGATGTAGACCGTATGCGAAACGAGTTACTTATTCCTTAAAATAACATAGACTCTGCCTCTTCATGTGGCACTTCCTTTGTAAACACATATTTTTCAATCACAAAGGACAAGTCTCCGTTTGGAGGAAGTCTCCTAGACTAGTATTTTTATGAAAAATATAGACATATGACCCAAATTAAATTATGAATATTCAAAAGAGGACATTTAAATCTACAAGGTGTAGTAAAAAATATCAAAATTTACTGAAGCAGGCGTAACGTGCAGTAGACCTATTCATTAAAAGACGAGTCTCGATTTGGAGAAAGAAGTTCATCAGTGTACTGTGCTTTATATATTATTTCATGAAAGATATAGAAATATCAACCAAATTAAATTATGGATATTCAAAAGAGGACATGTAAGTCTACATCTTCTTAACATATGTGGGCTATGGCCTGAATATTTTCATTCCAAATTTCCCCAAAAAATTTTGACTTGAGGATTATCAGAAGAACCTAAAAAGCAAGGAATTAAAAGATCATTTTGCAATAACATATGGAAATTGTATTTAAATTGTACATAAATGACATTTGTAATATTTTAGATTGCTTCTGGCATAGCTAATAAAATATGTGGCCTCTTATATGTCGATGCTTTTCTGCCATGTTATTTTTGAAAAATTTAACATGGCTGAAACTCCTTACAAGAGGCCACAGGCTTATAACACAAATAATTAAATGATCTTTAAAATACAAATGTTATTTTTTGTAGAATTTAAATACAATTTTCCGTGTATCATTGCACTGTTTTGCTGAGGTAAATAGACTAGTGAAATGGACTATAAATAATCGGAAATATACAAATGTCATTTGTGTACAATAAGATTATATTTTTCTGTATAATATTGCATAATAATGGTCCCCTGATTTCTTATTTTTAGGTTTTACTGGCGTAATAAAACATTAAAATGGACAGTCTGTTAAACTGCTTAAAAGTAACAATTTGAACATAAAAAATAAGAAATTTTAAGGTAACGCTTAAGTTAATCAAAAGTACAAAAAATGGCAGGCATATTTTTTTGACAAAGTCACAAGATTTTGTTTTCTGTTTTCTTTATATGTGAATGCATTTCCTGACTAAAGAGACATGTCAAGAAAGCTTCACATTTAAACGCATTTTTTTAACGATGAATTGGAGGTGCATGGGTCCCTAAAGCTAGCATGGAGACAGTGAAGTGAGGATAACTTTTTAAAATTTCAAGGAGTAGGATTGCAATGGAGACACATTTGTAAGACTCCAAAATGTCCACAAATCATCTTACCTTACCAAGGAACACTGAAGGAGCATTAAAATGTGTACTTCATGCATTTTTAGAGTATAATAAAGCTCAAACCAAAGTAAATTCTAAATATTTCATGTCCACCATTTTGTTTGCTGGGACTTTTTTCTAGTTCAAAATAATCCTCACTCATGTATCCATTGTTTACATTTAAAAAACATCAATAATGTATCTATCATGATTATTATACTGTTATACATAAAGTATACTAGTGATAATCCATGCCACTTGGTGAAGTCACAAAAACTTATATGAGGATTACAGGAAATATTTATCAGAAACTATGGTTTGAGCTTTATCATACTCTAACAATGCAAGAAGAGCACATTTTCATGCTCCCTCGATGTTCCTTGGTAAGGTAAGATGATTTGTGATAATTTTGGATTCTTGCAAATGTTTGACTGTTGCAAGAATACTCCTTTAAATTTTCAAAAATTAGCCTCATTTCACGATCTTCATGTTAGCTTTGGGGACCCATTAACCTCCAATTCATAGTTATAAAAAATGTGTTTAAAAATGAAGTTATCTTTGACATGTCTCTTTAGTCAGGAAATGCATTCACATATAAGGAAAACAGAATACAAAATCATTTGACTTAGTCAAAAATATATGGCTGCCATTTTTTGTACTTGTTTTGTAGTTTAGCTATCATATCTGTATCCTCTTATATTTTGATACTTCTCTGCCATGTTATTTTCGGAAAAATTAACATGGCTGAGACTCCCTAAATTACAAAAGGCCACAGCTTTGCTGCACATTACACATTACTATCTGAAATATACAAAAGTTAGGATAAATATAAATGTTTCATGGTCATTTGATTGCTTATTTTTTAAATTCAAAATACTCACACACATTTATGATTTTACTATATTGTGCAATAATATATGGAAAAACATATCCATATTGCTCAACTGGTCGCCATGTTATTTTTTCAGAATTTACATGGCATGGGTTCAACTGTAGACTGTATCCTTCGTCTGAATAAATATATTATATTCGGTCTGTTGGATACATACTAGGTTCAACTGGTTGCTTTGGAGCAGTGTAACAGACTAATGTTTGACTTACTGCCAGTCTGGTGGCGTTTTTGTGTCTGCCACCACCAACAGCTGCCATTCTGGTAAATTTGCCAAACTTTTGACATCTTGTGTAGGATATGATATACTCGTTACGATAATCCATTTATCTGCATTCCTCATGTTGCCTGCATAAGTTATTTCGTTTGCATACGACATTTCATCACGTATTTCATCATCGATCTCTTTGAAAAAGAATTCTTTTTGGAGTCCTGCATTTTTCCCGATAAATGCATACTTGAAAATTACACTGTAGACAAAAACGCTTAGAATGATCGTTACACATAACATTTTCATGGTGGACAAATTTCTCATCTTTTTTTGCTGGTGCTTCATGAAATATACCTTCTTAGTATTTGTATTTCGAAGTGTGCATACTATTCAAATTGATCACAGCAATGGGTTGCAACAACAAAAGGAGGTCGATTGACCTCAGGGTACTCAACAAGTAGGCCTAAACTCCAAACAAGAACATATGAATGCCTATATTTGTGTTCGGTGGAGCTTTGTGGCTTAGAACATAATGTTTTCTATTGGCTGAACGCAGGATTCAATTCAACATTGAGTTGAGTGAGTGAATGAGTGAATTAGTCCATGATGGTATTACTTCGGAATATAAAAAATCAGTAGCACATTATAGCACAGCAACATTTGAACCAATTTTAAGGATATCCATATGTCTTGAATTAAAAAAAGTTTGCTGAAAAAACTTCGGGCTTTGAGGTCGAAAAATGTCTCATCATAAGGGGTCAAAAACGTAAAAATTTTCATCCGAATTTTTACACATTTTATAAGACCAAAATTATAAAAACTTTGATGTAATTTTAAGAAGTAAATTTTGTAATTACTAATTAGTTTTTGTTTAATTTTTCAAATATTGCTCAAGCAGGTACATCAAAATAATAATTTCGTACTACGACACTTTTGAAAAATTGAAAAACGTTTTTTCTTCGAACAGCAATATTAAAAAGGAAGTGATCTATCATTTTTTATTTTTGAATTCCCGGTGTGCGAATATTAAAAAAATCCTCTCATATTTGGAGATAATATGTCTCTTAATCCCTTAAACCCCCCCCCATTCCCTAACATGGGTGATCAAAAGACTTCCAGCTTTACGTGAACACTGGTGATCCGCTCGATTACGGTTCGTTTCGGTAACAAAATGTCGGAACGTGGAAGGTATATGGTTTTTCTTTTTTCCTTATTTCACGCGTCGTAGGCAGAATCCCCACGATATTTTTTCTCACAAAAGTATATCAGTATCATATTACATAAACGGTAGGGGTTGAAAGTGCAGATCTTTCAGTAACTTAAGGATGTTCCCTGGACGAAGTTGAAAACGATGAACACCAACCCCTAATTTTTCTTTTCAAAATGTGAAGTACATAGCATAACTAAGTGTTTCTGTGAGTTTAAGAAAAAGTTAAATATTCAAAAGTGTGTTTTGGGGTGAAAACCTGATTTTTAACATGGGTTTCAATGAGAAAGTGCCACGCCCACTTTTGTCAAATATTGACACTTTAGAGGCCTCTTGCTCAGAAAAAAGCACACTAACATATGGTTTTTAAAGTTTTAATATTCTTTGTTGCCCGTGAGAATCCCAGAAAACCATTTTTGAGAAAAAGTTAAATACTATTGAATATTTTCCTATCTGACCAGGGAACATCCTTAAGTGAGGAATTAATTCTGTTGTCGTCTGAACTATTTGTTCGCAAATGAGTACATTTTCTTAAACATAAGATACTGATACACGTTTGTGATAAAAATGTCGTGGGAATTCTGCCTTCAACGTGTGAAATAAGGAAAAAAAGAAAAATCGTACCTTCGACGTTCCGACATTTTGTTACCGAAACGGTTCCAGCGTAATCGAGTGGATCACCAGTGGTAAAAACGGAAAATCCAGGTGTCATTTATTTTGTGCATGGTTATTTTCTATATAAAGAAATATAAACACTTTATCGTATTTGCAATTTTAGGCCCAGCCAGGTGAACAACGACCGCAAGCATTTAATATATAGAATAGCACCACATCTACAACACACCACTGAAACATGGTTCACTAGCTATTGCCTGGGTCACAATTGCTCTTATCCATCGGGCAGCGCCCGGCCGATCGAGTATCAACAAAACACTGGCCGATGAATCGGAACAAACGTGAATCAGGGATAACTACGTTCATTGTGTTTATTCATTGTTCATTCAATGGGGACTGAATAAAAGCTATAATTACACAATGCACATGTAGTCTAATGGCTGGATGCCACGATCAACATAGTCAATAGCCGTGACGAGCAAACGCAAAGTAACAGTCTCGCGCATATAACCAATAAAACATGTCATTATGGCTTTAATTTCCGCCTGTTACATGATACTTTTCGTAAGACTATCGCATTGTATATGTCATGTAGTATGTGTTGGGATAAGCTCAGTTCATTTCATTACGTTTATGCATATGTAAAGGTACAGCCAACGTTCACAAGATAGAGAAAGGGAGAGAGATGTGACTGTGACGTATCGAATCAGAAGAAGCTGTTTTAACATGAGGTAAGGCACAGGAATTCGTCTAGAAGAAAAAAGAATTCAATAGAGCAAGCCTTGACTCAATAAGCAAAGAAAAGTAAACTTCCCTGTGGGTAAGGAATTCATATATGTTTTCTGTAAGAATCAAAGATATTGCCTGGTTTGTAGTCTTGCAATATTACCTGGAAGTGACTTGTTGTCAAGCTCTTAGATGAGGTAAAATGTGTACGTTTGCCCATTTTAAGTCTGTTACACTGCTTCAAAGGCAAGCAGTTAAGGGTCAGCTGGAAAGTAACATTTTGGTCAAAAATTGCTGTACTTCCACATGTTATTTTCTGGTACAGAATTAAGTATGAAGGCATGTGTGTATTTCCTTGCTTTTTTCAGGAAAGTATTATTACACTGTCTACTTTAAGTAAACCCGGAAACAGGTCAATGGTAGCTCCTGTGTCGTCTGGAAACTTTGAAAGAAAATTTGGAAAAATAGAAAGTGTGAAATATCCGCTGGAGTTCCCATTGAACTCCTACCAGATATTCTAAAAGAAGACAATGTATTAATGATACTTTCCTGCTCCTTTATAGAATTGCAATGTATATGTCAGTGCTCCTTTATAGAATTGCAATGTATATGTCCATGCTCCTTTATAGAATTGCAATGTATATGTCAATGCTCCTTTATAGAATTGCAAATTATAAATGTAACCTTGCATCATTAGTGTAACATGATAAACATAAGACCATTAATGTCATGCACTTTATTTGTCAATGCACCTTATTGAATTGCAAATTATAAACGTAATCTTGCTTTATAATGGTAATGTGGTAACCATGCAGCGTATATTTATACTTGTATGAATGAGTGTGAAACATTATAATGTGTACTTTCGTATTAAATATATCATCTCTGATAATGTCATGCACTTTATATGTCAATGCACCTTATAGTATTGCAAATTACAAATGTAATCTTATTTTATAACGGTAACATGGTAACCATGCGGCGTATATGTATGAGTGAGTGTGAAACATTATCATGTGTACTCTAGTATTAAATATATCATCTCTGATAATACCATGCATCTTATATGTCAATGCACCTCATGGGACTGCAAATTATAAATGTAATCTTGTTTTTCTAACGGTAACATGGTAACCATGCAGCATATATGTATACATGTATGAATGAGTGTGAAGCATTATCGTGTGTTACAATGGTAAAATGGTAACAAGGCATATGTCAAGGTATATCAATAATTTTGACACATTGTCATGTATTCTCTCGTGTTAAAAAGTCACCTCCGTTAAAGCCAAGCATTCCATATGTCAATGCCCCTCCTAGAAATGCAAATTATGTAATTATGCTTTATAATGGTAATATGGTAACCATATAGCGTATATATCTACGTATATCAAGGAGTTTGAAATATTGGCGTAATAAAATGCCATCTCCGTTTTATGTCATGTATTTTATATGCCAATGTACCTTATTGAATTGCAAATCATAAATGTAATCATGCGTTGTGTGGGTAACATGGTAATCATACAGTGTATATCTATGTATAAGAATGATTTTAAAAACATCAACTTCAGGTTTGCGGTATGGCAATTTGTAAAAAACATGCAATCTATACACCAATGCACCACTAATTAAAATGCAAATTGTAAATATTGTTATCATGCAGAGTTGCATATTGGCATTTGCTTAAATGGTTTTAGACGAGTTGCAAATGATAAGATGTAGTTTTTTTTCGTGTAGTGATAGGCTCCACGCATTGCATGAAGTATATGTATATGAACAAGTTGAAAATTATCGGGGGTACTCTTGTGTCATAAAACTTTTATTTTTAAATAGCCATATATCTTTATAGTCTGAAGAGATATAGGCATGTCCTGTGTAAAACCTGAAGTAATTTACATGTATTCGACCTATATACAATTGTTATAAGATGTATCATATTGTTAATAGCAGGTTTTTGCATGAATACTTCTATCATCCATTTAACCATACATTGTAACCAGATTGATTTTAACGATGTTTCTTTGCTTGTAGAGTTGTATTTGTATTAAAGACACATGTAAAGTGTCGATATGCCATTCAGTGTCTTATAAGGCACGGCTCTCTGTTTGTTATGTTACTTTATTTTCATTGTTCTTTGTTGTTGAAAATCAGACTTTGACATTTAAATACCTCATCTTCAGGCGGAAACCGAAAATCTTTTCAGCCAATACACACTATGCTCCCATCTGAACTAGATAGCATTTACATAATATATATACATGCTCCCTTCATACCAAATCCACAATTCACCTTAATTTATAATAACACACTTCACTTTTCTAATTCAGTTAAATACGTCCCAAAATGAATAACTTAAGTATCATCTCCTATAATGTAAGAGGTATTAGAGATTATTCAAAAAGACAACGTATCTTCCATCACCTTTCAATACGACGCCAGCGATTGTGATGCTTCAAGAAACTCATTCAAACGAAAATGATTTGGATATATGGAAAAATAATTGGGGTAATGATATAATTTTCTCGCACGGTACAAATGATAGCAGAGGCGTTGCAATACTCTTAGATAAGTCTCTAAACTATAAAATACACGATAAAATGCAAGATAAAAACGGAAGATACATTATTTTGGACATTTCTCTTGATGAACAAAGAGTATTACTAATTAATTTATACGCTCCAACACAAAATCATGAAAAGCAGCAAAAACTGTTAATTGATGAAATTGAGAAACACATTTTGAATATGAATGCCGAAAATATCATTTTAGGTGGCGACTTTAATGTAATACTTAATCCACGCTTAGATAAAATGGGAGGGGGGAATGATAAGTTAACTTCATACGCCAAGAGAATTGAAACTTTTATGGATACATTTGACTTAACTGACACGTTTCGAACAGCATACCCCGATATAAAACGTTACACTTGGAGGCAAAAACATCCCTTTAGGCAATCGAGACTCGATTATTTTCTTATTTCGACTCACTTGCTCAACCAATTTGATGATATTAAGATCTTACCTGGACTCTTATCAGATCATAGCATTTTAAAATTACAACTAGGCGAAGTTAATAAAGAACGAGGAAAGGGTCTGTGGAAATTTAATAACAACTTGCTAAATGAATCTGAATTCGCGGCTAAAATTCGAGATTGTATAGCAGAATCAAAATTAAAGCATGGTTACCTGGATAATAAAGGCTTACTTTGGGAAATGGTTAAATTAGATATACGTTCGAGCACAATTTCACATTCTATTTACAAATCGAAAATGCGTAAAAAAACTAATACTGAATTGAAATCCAAATTATCCATTCTAGAAACCAAGATAAATCAAGATGATGTAACGGAAGCACTACAAAATGAATATTTTAATACAAAATTGGAAATTGAGAACCTAAACAAAAATGAAACCTTAGCCTCCATAGTCCGATCAAAAACTAAATGGTATGAAAACGGCGAAAAGAACAGCAAATTTTTCCTTACTTTAGAACACCGCAACTACATCAATAAAACCATTCAAAAACTACAAACTGAAAATGGTACAATCATAAACGACCCTAAAGAAATCTTAAATGAACAAAAAAGATATTACGAAAATTTGTACACCGAAAGGTTAAATAATGAAGACCTACCACCAAACATAGATATTTTTGTTGAACAATTGAATATTCCAAAGTTAACTGAAGATGAAAAGGTGTCTTGCGAGGGCTTGTTAACGATTGAAGAATGTGCTCAATCTCTCAAAAATATGCCAAATGATAAGTCTCCTGGTACTGATGGTTTCACAACTAACTTCTACAAGTTTTTCTGGATTAACATTAAAGATCTAGTTGTCGATAGTTTGAATTATGGCTTTGAGTCTGGAGAACTCTCTATCTCACAAAAACAAGGAGTCGTTACCTTAATTCCAAAAAAAGATAAAATTAGATTATTCCTCAAAAATTGGAGACCAATTACCCTTTTAAACACCGACTATAAAATAGGCACCAAATCAATTGCTAACAGAATACGGAAAACCTTAACATCCATAATAAATACCGACCAATCCGCATATGTAACAGATCGATACATAGGGGAAAACATTAGAATTATAGAAGATATTTTAGAATACACAGACCAAGGTAACATCCCCGGGATACTCCTACAAATCGATTTTGAGAAAGCCTTCGATTCCGTCAACTGGAATTTCATCGAGAAAGCGCTTAATTTATTCAATTTTGGTAATACATTGATCAAATGGGTAAAAACTTTTTACAAAAATGCTCAAACGTGTATATCCAACAACGGATACCAATCGACTATGTTTTCACCTTCTAGGGGAGTCCGACAAGGATGCCCCCTATCGGCATACCTTTTCATAATAGTGGCGGAAATACTAGCTTTATCTATTAGACAAAATATAAATATCCAAGGCATTATTTTGAATAATACTGAGATTAAACTTTCAATGTTTGCGGACGATACAACTTTTTTCCTAGATTCAATTGCATCAACTGAAAATGCCCTTCAGACTCTAAAAAGATTCTCTGAAATTTCTGGCCTCAAGCCCAACCTTCAGAAAACAGAAGGAAGATGGTTAGGTCTCTTTAAAACATCACCCCCACAAATTGCACCAAAAAGTCTTGTCTCAAAAATTAAAATCAATAATGAAAATTTTTACACCCTCGGAGTATGGTTTAGTCAAAATATAAACGAACGGAATGACCTTAACTTCTCTCCTAAGATTAAATCTATAGAAAATTTATTTAAAATATGGGAATGGAGGAACCTTAGCTTAATAGGAAAAAACGTGTTGATCAAAGCTCTAGGGATTTCAAAACTAACATATCAAGCATCAACCATACTTGTACCAAAACACATCATTAATAATGTTCAAAATCTCATTAATAACTTTTTATGGAACAGAAAACCTCCATTAATAAGTAACTTAACAACCATAGGAAAAATTGAAAAAGGGGGAATCAAGAGCTTACATTTTGAAACGCAAATAAAAGCTTTACAAATACAATGGGTAAAAAGATTATACCAGAAAAAGCCCAGCAAATGGAAGCAATATTTCTACAGCTTTTTTCCTAATCTAGACTCTGAGACCATATTTCATTCAAAATTTCCCGATGACAAGTTGGCCAGGTTACCCCCTTTCTACTATAATATCATGGAAACCTGGAAATTATTACATAATAAAGAGCCCTATAATAAAGAACTTGCTTTAAAAGAGTATATCTGGAATAATGAGTTCATAAAAATTAATGACAAAACCCTAAATTATGCAAGCTGGATAAGTAAAGGAATCCTTCAAATAAAAGATCTCGTTAACAATAATGAATTCTTAGGTTTCGAAGATTTCTCTTTAAAATATAATATTAATACACCTTTCGTTACTTTCTATGGCTTAATTCATGCAATTCCACACTCCTGGAAACAACATATTAAAAACAATCTAAGCAACAAGGCACTTAAAGACGAAGAACTCCAAATCAAAAACACGACAATAAACGTCAAATCTATAAAAACTAAAACCATATATTGGATTCTCGTAGATAATTTATTTAAAGAACCCAACGGGAAAAAATATCTAAATTCAAAATTCAACTTTTCAGAAGAAGATTGGAAACACATTTTTACATTACCTTTTAAGACGGTTCGAGAACCGAGAATACAATGCCTTCAATACAAACTTGTTTTAAACGTTACACCAAATAACCAATTTTTAACTCGAAAGAAAATAAAAAATTCAAATTTATGCGACTTTTGTAAAAACGATAAAATAGATGATACGATACACTTCTTCATAGAGTGCCCAAACTCTTCCAAGATTTGGGATGACTTTAAAAATTTTTTCAATATTGATCTTACAATTAAAGACATAATTGTCGGGAAATTAGATCAAGAACGCGACCACACTTCAAAAGCAATTAATTTTTGCATATTGTATATAAAAAGCTTAATACATAAATCAAGACTTGTTAATACTAAAATAACATTTATGCAAATAAAAGAAATCCTAAAATACAAAATCAATGACGAACGAAATATTGCAAACTTAAATGGCACACTGGAAAGTTTCGGCGAGACTTGGAGATGGGTTATAGATAGATTAAACCAACAGCATTGAATTTTTGGTTTTACTTTATACCCTTTTATATTAAAATATTGTCAGCACAATACGATTGAAAGATAATCGTATTGCATGTATTGTATTTTCAAATGGTACCCTTTTAAATTAAGTTAAATTAAATACTCTGAATGGAGATGGTCTGAAAAGCTTAAAACATATAATTGTTAAATATAAATATGTAATAATATTATTGAATATTCAATGTATATGGATTTGATCTGTATGTATATTATGTATAATGTTTTGTGTAAGAAAGATGCAATAAAAAAAAAAAAAAAAAAAAAAAAAAAAAAAAATGATACTTTCCTGAAAAAAGCAAGGAAATTGACACATGCCTTCATACTTTATTTTGTATCAGAAAATAACATGCGCAGGTATAGCGATTTTTTACCAAAATGTTATTTTCCAGCTGTACCTTAAAGCGGAAATATAAGAAATCTAAATAATATTGTGCAATAATATATTGTCATTCGTGTGCAATATGAATATATTTTTCTATATATTATGGCACAATGGTCTATAGATTTCTTAATTTTCAGGTTCAACTGCTTGCCTTTGAAACAGTGTAACAGACTGTACACAATCCTCATTGGAGTCTTATGTTGCTCTAGGAGTACATCAATCTCACTAGAAATTAAAGAGTGAGAGACAAAATGTATAAAAATGAGAAAGTTCAGTGACCCAATTATTCTGTACTTTTAAAGAGTAGCTAGGTCACCGAATTTTCTAATTTTTCAAAAACAATATTCTCTCCATTCATTTCGATGTACATTCGTGCAATATTTGTGTAAACCTGAAAGATGTAAACTGTATTAGTTATGTGTTCCCGAGAATAACATTTGACACCAATGAAGATTGCATGAAAATTCCAGAAGAATAAACCTTAAGGCAGTTCCAATTCCTTATGTTAAGATGCCATGGAAGTTAACAGGAAATGACAAAACAAAAAGTGACAAAACCATGCTGGAGTTTGAAATTCTTTTTGAACCAAGATAACAGAGTTCTGTTTGGACCGGGAACACAATGGAAATGGTCAGAATGACCCTAAACATGATGAAATAAACTTTTCAGCCCTCTGAAAATGTGACTGAAAAATAGGTGCTCAGGAAAGGTCAATGAACAGAATCTTTTGATTTTTTCAGAAAATGTGTCCAATATATTGCTCTAAATGATACAAACTTTGAAATTTTAAAAAATTGTCGGAAACAATAATATAATGGCTGTAGTAAAAAGGAAAATAGATCGATTTTCAATTCAGTTTAAAAAAAAAAAATCTTTTTCTATGAATGACATCAAATTTTTTAAAATTGTATGTATGTACTCTAAACTTTGTGCCAAACTGAGATGTAGACCATGTATACTGTATGATGAATTATATGTAACTGAAAATAACAAATAAGGAAGCAATTCAATTTTCTAAACACGAGGAATAACCTTAATTTTGCATCATGGGGAACTACCTTAGAACGTCATAATTGCCTTTGCATTTTTATTTTCCAGAGTAATAGGTCTACGTAAACTATCGTGGCTCGCAGGCGTAGTCCTCACGTTGATATTATTAGAATTTGTGAACCTTCACATCAATACAGCAACGGAAAATTGGACCAATGAACTCCCAAGGAACCAAATTTAGTTATTTGGAGGAAGGTGAAGATGACAAAATTAGTATAGAGCCACTCAAATTCGAAGCCCAGTCTGAAACAAATTACACATTTGATGAAAACTTTGCTGCAAGATGGCCTTCGTCTATTAGTTGGCAGAAAACTAAAGACTCTATTGAAATGTATATTCTATCTGCGTTTTATGACGATAGGCCATCTTTGGGTTCAAGAACTGCAGCGGTACAAGTGCTGGCACTGTCCGAGCAGCCGTCTGTCGGAGTTCCCGCCCAAGGAGATATATACTGCCATCTATGGGGCACTTCTCAGAAACCACTTGTCGTAAAAGCCCAGCGTAATTTACTCGGAATTGAGAGGATGAAGAGATATTTAACATTTCATAATAAAGGTTTCAGATCATATATTTGGAGCTGCAAAATTAAGCGGGATACAAAAATACCGGTGTTTGTTTCTATTAGTTACAGGACGAATATAACGACATCTTTTATGCCCGTCCAGATACCGACAAAGCCCAAAGTAAAGCAAGAATTTGCCGTTTGTCAGAGATACTTTGGTCATGTCGACCCTTACCTTATTATCGAGATGATGGAGTTATATAAAATACTAGGCGTTTCAAAATCTATCATATATATCACAAATTTATCACCTGAGACGTCCAAGGTTTTGCTGCATTATTCGCAAGAGGGCTTCATGGAGGTCGTCGATTTTCAGACACCGTTTGAAAATTATCCTCGTTTTCCACCAATGCATAAACCAAACCACATTAGAATTCTTCAGGTCCATTCTTACAATGACTGTATGTATAGGAACATGTATAAATACAAGCATATCATTTTCACAGACCCCGATGAGATCATCATACCGATGCAACATGCAACATACTCCGATATGATGAAAGAAATGAAGCTAGATCTTGGCTTTGACGTACCAACGCCATATTTATTCAAAAATGTTTTTTTCTTTCAACATTTCCCGCAAGAGGAATCTGAGCCTGCTCAAGTGAGGTCATTGCGATTTCAAACTCGCCTGGCGCCGGGAAATCCATTCCCCGCAGTCATAAAGGTAATCCTCGATCCAATGTCGTGTCTTGGCTTACACATACACCGATGTTGGGTACATACGCGTTTAGCCAAGCACAACTCGATCGTCAAACCAAGTGTCGCATTAAGTTTCCATTATAGAAAGTGTCACTTTGAATTAGAAGAACAGGGAAAGTGCGAACAATTCCTCAATGAAACTATAAGGGAAACAGCGATGGTCAGCTTCAAAGAGAAACTGTTACCAGCCATGCAACAACAGGTGGACGCTTTGGGATTGGCCCCAATTGGTTGAGGGACGGATTTTAATATGGCCTATATACTAGTACTATAGAACATGTGGAATTGGTATATGATGTTGATCGTTTTTCAATACCAACCAAGTGTACATATATTGTCAAAAATTAGAACATTAAAGAACAGAACAGAAAAAATATTTTATAATATAACAATTTTAATGCCTGAAACATGTGTTGATTGTTCAGTGGGTAACAGATCAGAGGCCTCATTATCAGTTAGTCGCAGAATCGCATGCGTAACGCTACGCAACGCAGCGCAACACCACGCAACGCAGCGCATATATTTCCCAAAAATTATATTATCACTATGACTCAACGTAGTTCTGACGCAAGATAATAGATTTTCAGAACGCAAGTGAACAAAAACTTGCGATATGTCGCAAATCAAAACGCAAACATAGTGCAACTTTAGCACCCCAGTCACATTTGTCGTACGGAGGCCGTGCGTCGACCGCAGATCAATTAAATCAGTGAATTTCTGCGGCGAGCGTAGAAAAACTACGCCCGCCTTGTGGTCTCCGTACGGCGTATCCAGTTTTTTACAGGCCGCAGGGTAGCCGTAGAAATTATAACTCGGAGTTATAATATTTGTTCATTTCTGCGGTCACCGTAGAAATCAACAGGCCGTTAAACCGCAGAAAGGTCCAACGGTGGCCGCACATCGGGTTTTGCCCTTGACTTTCAGTTTTCGGTCATAATACGTATGATATTTGATGTAAGGTAACTGAACCCTCAGCAACTTATATTTCACTTGCACTTTTTATTCGATACTATTGTGAGGTTTCTGGTCCTGTTTCTACAAAATCAAGGAATTGGTAACGTGCTCTATGGTTAGGACCAAAAGCCCTGAATTTGTCACTTACCGTCTTGCTCTCATTTAATAGGCTCTATGAAAGGGGTGAAGACTCACTGTGTGATTAATTGTGGACAAATGACAACTGTGAACAAATGTGATTTCACAATTGTGGGCAAGGTGTTATTGTACAATTGTGGACAAATGACAACTGTGGACAAATATGATTTCGCAATTGTGGACAAAGTGTAATTGTACAATTGTGGACAAATGACAACTGTGGACAGATGTGATTTCGCAATTGTGGACAAAGTGTAATTGTACAATTGTGGACAAATGACAACTGTGGACAAATATGATTTCGCAATTGTGGACAAAGTGTAATTGCACAATTGTGGACAAATGACAACTGTGGACAGATGTGATTTCACAATTGTGGACAAAGTGTAATTGTACAATTGTGGACAAATGACAACTGTGGACAAATATGATTTCGCAATTGTGGACAAAGTGTAATTGCACAATTGTGGACAAATGACAACTGTGGACAAATGTGATTTCGCAATTGTGGACAAAGTGTAATTGCACAATTGTGGACAAATGACAACTGTGGACAAATATGATTTCGCAATTGTGGACAAAGTGTAATTGCACAATTGTGGACAAATGACAACTGTGGACAGATGTGATTTCACAATTGTGGGCAAAGTGTAATTGTACAATTGTGGACAAATGACAGCTGTGGACAAATATGATTTCACAATTGTGTGGACAAAGTGTAATTGCACAATTGTGGACAAATGTGATTTCACAATTGTGGGCAAGGTGTAATTGTACAATTGTGAACAAATGACAGCTGTGGACAAATATGATTTCACAATTGTGTGGACAAAGTGTAATTGTACAATTGTTGACAAACAGGGAAAAAATATGTCTTGAGTTATATTAGGCCAGCATGGGGATATAAAATTGAGTAAAAGATCCAAGTTCAAGCTTAAGAAAAATTTGGACAGCACTTTCCCTAGTATGAGTGTTATTCAGATTGGGGAGGGGAAAATATTCTAAGTCCAAACTTAAGAAAAAGGATGTGTCCGGGAATATGCCCTTTTGGTCCCTCAATCAAATGTATGTGAAATATGTTTTTTATTATTGTCCTAGTTATATTTGATAAGTATATTTACTTTTTCACGTGTTTTGATGCATAATTAACCCCCTGCTGAGAGTCAGAATAAGTATCTTAACAACAACAAAAAATTTAACCCTCAGCAACTTATATTTCACTTGCACTTTTTATTCGATACTATTGTGAGGTTTCTGGTCCTGTTTCTACAAAATCAAGGAATTGGTAACGTGCTCTATGGTTAGGACCAAAAGCCCTGAATTTGTCACTTACCGTCTTGCTCTCATTTAATAGGCTCTATGAAAGGGGTGAAGACTCACTGTGTGATTAATTGTGGACAAATGACAACTGTGGACAAATATGATTTCGCAATTGTGGACAAAGTGTAATTGTACAATTGTGGACAAATGACAACTGTGGACAAATATGATTTCGCAATTGTGGACAAAGTGTAATTGCACAATTGTGGACAAATGACAACTGTGGACAAATGTGATTTCGCAATTGTGGACAAAGTGTAATTGCACAATTGTGGACAAATGACAACTGTGGACAAATATGATTTCGCAATTGTGGACAAAGTGTAATTGCACAATTGTGGACAAATGACAACTGTGGACAGATGTGATTTCACAATTGTGGGCAAAGTGTAATTGTACAATTGTGGACAAATGACAGCTGTGGACAAATATGATTTCACAATTGTGTGGACAAAGTGTAATTGCACAATTGTGGACAAATGTGATTTCACAATTGTGGGCAAGGTGTAATTGTACAATTGTGAACAAATGACAACTGTGGACAAATATGATTTCACAATTGTGTGGACAAAGTGTAATTGTACAATTGTTGACAAACAGGGAAAAAATATGTCTTGAGTTATATTAGGCCAGCATGGGGATATAAAATTGAGTAAATGATCCAAGTTCAAGCTTAAGAAAAATTTGGACAGCACTATCCCTGGTATTAGTGTTATTCAGATTGGGGAGGGGAAAATATTCTAAGTCCAAACTTAAGAAAAAGGATGTGTCCGGGAATATGCCCTTTTGGTCCCTCAATCAAATGTATGTGAAATATGTTTTTTATTATTGTCCTAGTTATATTTGATAAGTATATTTACTTTTTCACGTGTTTTGATGCATAATTAACCCCCTGCTGAGAGTCAGAATAAGTATCTTAACAACAACAAAAAATTGGTCATTATCATAGAAAAAACAACAATGGCAACATGTATGACTTACAAAGAAGAAATAACTTAAGACCCATGAAGAATTAAAAAGAAAATCATATTTTCGAAATATGTACAAGAATTAAAATTGTTTTCTAATTTTTGAATTTCCCGCCAGTTTAATTTGAAGGGTGAAAAACAAGATGGCTGCCATTTGATGTAAGAAATATCAGAAAAAAGTTGATTCACTTTTATTTTTCACAATGAGCACAGTTTTAGGTTTTTTGACTGATTCTGACTCTTCATCACCAGGCTCATGTATAGAGATTATAAAATTGAAACCAAAATGTTGTGCTCAGCATGAATTTGACTGAAATATGTGTAACTTCACCAACACAATTGAAGTCTCAAAACTGGATGATCAGGTAACTTTGAGTGACTATAATCCCTTGATTACCCAGATAAACACCAATTCACTTATCCAGACCATTCAATGTCTCGACAAAGAAAGTAAGCAATGTTTTGGAAAACTTTTTGTATAAATAGTTCATTTAATATTTGCCATTGATTTTTTTTTCAATTCTGACAAAGTGATATGCACGGTCTTTGATGCCAATATTCTTCATTAATTGTGATACAAATTAATATTTTTGTACTCTCAGAAGAAGGGTAAGATATTGAGGTTTAATAATATGTGTGATAGAGTTGGTTTTTCAGACATTACAGTTTTCAATATTTTCTAAGTCTGTAACACTGTGTGTAAGTAGATACCAAGACTCATTCCCAGACTCATCCTGTGGACAGCACTTCCCCTTGTATTAGTGAAAATCAGATTGGGGAGGGGAAAATATTATAATTGCTATATCAGGTCATATATCACTGGTTATTTAGGAGCTGTGTCTTCAAGGTAAGGCTGTATCTTCCATTCAAGGCATTAGGAATTGTAAACTGGACAAATTACAACTGTGCACAAACCCAAATGTGGACAGAATCAATTGTGAACAAAGTAGACTAGATCAGATTTTGCTTCAAATGTATAAGGCTCTTGTAAATTATGTAACAATCTGATCACCAATAATTCAACAGAAATAATATAAGATTCTTCTGGAATAACTTTAATGTATTATCTTTAATTTTAACTTAAGTAAAATCAATATAAGAATCAAATCAGCTCAAATAATCACTCAATTTTGTTAACACTGCAAACAGTCAGTAAATCACCAAAGATACCTATAAAAAATGCTCACCCAATTCTCACACCTTCGTTGCCATCCCGGTGTAAAAGGGTAGGAGGTCCTATCAAATTATGGTCCTACTTTCCATTGATTTATATGGTGACCTAAATACAACTCTTTCCCTTATTATCTTATACACAATCAGGGCCAGTAAGGGCCGATTATAAAGGGGACCATAATCCCCAGGGGACCATAATTTCTTTCACACCTGGCATACTGGCTGTCTTGCTATGCACACTTTGTCTTCAAATCAGTTATCTGTGGGCTTCAAACGGTTCTTTTTGGGCTGACTGATCTGATCCCTCCATTAATTTCACTGACCGTCCTGACTGTGTACAATGTTAATCTCAAAACTCTGTCCAAAATGTTTTTGTAAACCAAAGTCTAAATATGACAGAGTAAGTTTATAAAATGAAAACACATGATCAATAATATTCTAAGAACATGTTATGTTAAATCTAAGGTTTAAGGACAGGGTGCATGTTGGGAAATTTTCTGCATTCCTCAATTGAGTCACATGTTATTTTTCAAACATGAATAACTCCTTCCCCACATTGTCTACATCTTCCAAGTTTGCACAAAGAGTGCACCTTTGTGCCTAGAAAAGCCTTGTGAGAAGGTTTGTTTTGTAAAATGTATAAAAAATGAGAAAATTCAGTGAAAAAAAATTCTGAAAATTTTCTGATTTTTTTCACTGAATTTTCTTGTTTTTTATACACTTTATCAAAACATTCTTCTCACAAGTCTTTTCAGTGCACTCTTTGTGCAAAACTGGAAGATAAAGACAATGAAGAGAAGGAGTGATTCTTGTTTGAAAAATAACATGTGACTCAATTGAGGAATGCAGAAAATTTCCCATCATGCACCCTGACCTTAAAAATGCTCTTTACAAGAGAGAAAATCAGACATATATATGAGACTAATTCTGGTCACATGACCTTCAAAATGGCGACCTCCACCAGGTAAAAGTAAACAAATTAGAAATGAAAACAGTTAAGTGAATTTGAAACTAGTACAAAGTTGTTATACCTGATTTCCCCAATCACAAGCAAGATCAAGGTAAGGACTAATTTGAATAGAATATAATTTAATGTTAAGGTTTTAAATTATATTCTATTC